GAATCAAAACGCCATCGTAATATATTTATGGGGGCTCGTCCGGGATCCCATAAATATGTTATGGCCCGTTAAGAAACAAGGGTCAGTGATGGATCAGTCAGCAGCAGCATCTGATCAATATGTGATCCATGATGTGATGTAAATGTAACATTTTCTACATATAGGTCAAATTTATTTTCAAATCAATGCATTCAATTTCAAATCATAAACATTTAGATTCAATCAGAGGAATTCAAGATCACTTCCTAATGGCACAAGATTTATTCCATACTCATCACCCACGATGCTCTGCTGTGGCTTCAGCCTCGCCTCTAACCGTTCCTGTTTCCTGTTTTCAGGCTCCGGGGACGAGTTCAGCTTGACCAAAATCAGCCACTGGGACTTCTTAAAGAGACATTCCAAAAGTTTATTTTTACCAACGTGTAACATGTTTACTATGGTTTGACTCCAGGGAAAACGATATTTTAATAAGAAACTGTAAAAAACGTAACAATGTAATGAAGCACTTTATATGGAAGCGCTGCAGATTTTAAACCGGCTGATGCATTTTTTGGTAGTGATGTCCTTTTTTATATAAAACAAAAAACAAAAAACCCCACTGAACTCATCGCCCACCGCTCAGTCTCCAACAGCGCTCCGACATGTTTTCTTTACCTTTCTGTTCCGGAGGCGGAGCCTGCTCCTCACCTGGACTCCCATCAAAAAGAGGGTGGAGCCTGCTGGACAGGGGGAGCAGCTTTGCAGCTCCTCGGAGGGGRGGAGCTTAAGGCCGAACGGAGACCGGCTCCCACCCGGTGTCCCGGATCCAGCTTCCTGTCTGAGGTCGGCTCCAGACAGGATGTGCGGGCGCCGCTTCTCGCTGCAGACGGTTGAGTTCAAACGGTCAGCAATAAGACGACGAGCAGCACGTGACCGGAACCACAACGACGACGTCTTCCTGCTTCAGTGTCAGACTCTGTGAGGTCCCCTTCAGGTTCAAAGGTCCAGCTGAGGTCATCCGCCTCACGTRGGCTCCTCCCACAGCGCCGCTCCTCCTCGGGTGGCGTGTTCTGCCCTGCAGGTTTCCGGAGCTGAACCCGAGTGCCTCCCGTTGCCCCGCCCCCATTGCCCCGCCCCCTGCGCCCAGAGCTGTGTAGAGATCCTTAGATTGTTGCTGAAGTTAACCAAGTGTCTCCTAACGCCCTGACATCTCTTTCAGAAATACGTTCACCTCCGACCGACACGCTCCCGTCATCACGTCGCTCAGAAAACCAGCTGATTGGTCGGCTCTCTGAGAGCAGCGCTTCATTAACCAATCAGCTTCGAGCCCACAAACGAGCTCCAGGTCTAAGAACAGTCATCGACTCCTGGATGGAAACTGTCTGGAGTTTGGACTTGGTTTGGGGAACACCCTGCTCCTAATTCACCTGAACCTCGGGGGGTGGGGGACAGACCCAGAGGCCGAGAACCGGACCCTGATGATGCAACACGCCGACTAATATTGCACTAAAGATGGATTTTATTRGACGCTGACGCCAGTTTAACGTAGCTGTAAAGTATTTAGAGGAATCCTGTTTGTAGCTCAGATCTGAAGTCACGTTTATTTCATCTTCAAACATCCTGACAGGAAAAAAACAAACAAAAAAAATGTTTATTGGGGATCATGTGAGTTTTTGTTGCCGGGCGGATCAGGAGCTGAAGAATTTCATTCCAACATAACGAGACTAAATGAAGCAGTGAAGTTGGGACGTAACCCACACCTGAGGTCAGGAGGTTTGGGTCAAGACTGAAAAAATAAAAAACAAAATAAAAAAACATTATACAGTGGAGTGTGAAAGTTTGGGCAGTCTTCTTAATTTTCCTGATTTACCTTTATAAATTATTCATTGGATAAAAAAAATCTGTTAAATATATCATATAGGGGACAAACACAGTAGCTGTGTTTCCATTACAAATGTGCGCAAAACMTTGTCGATATTCTGTTAATGTCGAAAAACAGTTTTGCAACTGTGGTGTTTCCGTTAAGAAACGCTATTAGTCACGCGTGAATACGTTTGTTCTCATGATAAGTCATTACAAACATGGCAGCGATGGATGTAAACACATAGCATGTTGCTACCACGACACTAGCGCTCATCATCAGAGGAGACGTCGGCGTCTTTTATCGAGGCTTTCCAGAGACAAGTCCCTACTTGGGAGCGGCTACGTATGCTGTGTTTTTGGGAAATTGTAGTCAGTGAATTTAATACTTTCTTTTATTACTTCAGTGATTTCACTACTACTTTTACTTCCTGTTGTCTTCTTCATCGTCGCATTTTTTCACCAGTAGAAACAGCTGGTTGTTGATCACGTCACTCCCATGATGCGAAAAAAGTGTTTCCATTGCATTTTTGAGAAATACATCAATTTCCATACAGCCGAAAAACCACCTCATCCTAGCGCAAAAACATTTTGTCAAAAAAACATATATTTTTTCGAAATTGACGTGTTTCCATTGAGCAAATTTATTTTCGAAATTCCAATTAGCGCATTTTCATGGTCAATGGAAACGCAGCTAGAATCAGGGCAGTGTCTTCAAAGTTAATAATAAAAAGATGTCTCTATACACACTTTAGTTGGTAAATGAGAGCCTTCAGTACCTTGTTCATGATCTGAGCATTAGCCTGAGCTAGAGCATATGGCATGTCTGTTGTACTGGCAGTGAACTTGAATTTGCTGGGATGCTGCCGGTACTTCCTGTCAGTCAGAATCTCTGCTGCTTTCTTGGCCTTCTCCACATCCAGGGATCCAATCGGCACCCAACCACAGCCACGTATCCACTCCATGTCAGCCTTGTACACAGCCTATAAATGGGATTTTAAAAAAAGTCATTAGA